AAGCATACTATAATGGACAGGAAAGTTCCACACGATGTTGAGTCAGTCTATCAAATGATGAACCATTCTATCAAAAAGCTAATAGCACCTCCCCTGAGAAACACTGAGCCCCCTCATTTGGGGAAGACAAAAGTAGGAAAGAAAGGCAAACTGAAGAGAGTAGGGCAGTAAGAGGACAGGCAATGCACCCCAACAAAAGTGAGGTCATCAAGTAAAGGTTATCCAAAGATTAGTCTCAGCCCCCATCAGCCCCGGCCCCTCACCTCCAGTGATAACACTCGTGGCACACAAACTCCTTATTCTCATTCCCTCTACCACACAAAACAATGGGCTCCGATTTAAAGTACATCTTTTAAAAATTATCTTTATTGCCACATCTTTTCATCTGTTCTAATTATGACAGTTTCTGAGCAACTAATATTGGTAGTAATAATAATAGATAATATCAACTAAAAATTCTTCCATGTTGCTCAAGGGCTTAATTACTAAATCTGTGCTGTAATATGGAAAATGTGCTTTAGAGACTAATTCCTTAGGGGATAATTCTTCAGGGATTACTCTGCTGAATTAATACCCTCTGATGAAACACTGTTTGAGCCATGCTGGGACTTGGAACAAGGGGGAGTGAAAATTCTCTTGCCACCTCCCAGACTCTTTGTTAAGCTCTAGGCAGTATCGGGAGAGACATACTGCACAAACAAGCTTCACCACCAAGGGTCAGGGCATGGAGAGACCAAATGGAAAGAGACAGCTCAGCAGGCTTGGATTAAAGGGCAAATATTTTAGAGGCACTACACTCGATTATGTCGGAGAGACAGGCTCATGGCACTTTCCGTAACAAACAGATGCCGCAGAGCAAAGTAAAAGGTTCAGCAAGACATACAGACTGAAAAGCTCCCCAGGATGGAGCTGTCCAAAACGCAATTCTGTTTAAAATGAGTTGAGGTCTTGTTATAACAAGAGCACACTATCACCGCAGATGCGGGTTTCCATGAAATAAGGTCCTTACAGACTAAAGCAATGCTGTCCAACAGATCCTCCTCTGATTGTGGACACGCTCTGTGTTTCTGCTGTCCCCTATGGTAGCCACTAGCCACATGTGGCTACAGAGCACTTGAAAAGTGGACAGTGCAAATGAAGAACTGAACTTCTAATTTTATTTAATATTAATTAATTTAAATAAAAACAGATCCATGTGGCTAGTGGCTCGTGTCTTGGGCAACGCAGGAAAAGGCTTAGACTATGGTATGGGAAAATGATCCAAGAGGCTATCACACAAAAAAACTGTTACATATCATCTGACTGCCCAGAAAAGTACTTCCTCAGTACCCTCCCCATCACAAACATCAGAAACCACAAGAGCAGTGCTTCTCAACTTTACCTACCCATCAGAATAACCTGGAGGTCTTGTTAACCAGTTAACTGCCACGCGTCCAAAACCAAAACCATCCTTGCGTCTACAGACGCTTATGGCATACAAAGGGTTAAAACACTCGGTCTAAACATTTCAAACAAGTACCCAGGTGGTTCTGATGGTCCAGGGCCGCACTCTGAGTAGCACTAGGATAAAAACGTTAACATTCAAACATCAGCCTACCTCTATCAAAATGGAGCTTCCTTCCCTTGTCACCTTTTGGCTATACTGAAGTGCCTCTTTGTTCAAGGTACACAGAATCCTTCTCAAACAGTCTTACAAGGTTTGCTTAAAACCTATGACTCTAAATGTATGACAGAATGTAAATAAACAAGACTCCACATATTAGATCCACCACAGAGCACATTTGTTGTAAATTTTGTGAGTGTGTCTAATAATTACAGGGACCAGAAACTCAGAAAGGCTCAGAAACCCACCAGGACAATTTACGTCAAATCCCTGCACTGGCCCTGTTTTAGAGTCCAGCTGAGGCTTTCCATTACAATAACATGATACTTCAGGTCTAGGTCAGGGTTATGCCCTCTTTCACCATCCCAACACTGAGTAATGTAAGAGTATCAAAAAAACACACATCACATTAAAGCATGTTATTTATCATTGAAAGGGCACATGTTGAAGATACCCCTTTCCATATTCCCAAAGAGAAGAAACAAATGTAAAAGTTCTAGAATAAAAACAGATTTCTCCAAACATTCTATGGCCTTTATTGTATTGCCTGCAAAACCTATTCTAGGATCAGTAATCATTCAGGAGGATCTTTTTCTTTTGGGGGTTACTTCTTTATGGCCTTTGGTCTAATTATATATGAATCTCTTAAACACTAAAAGACCATCCTGTCCAAAGTAATTTCCTTGACTGCTCTTCTCAATAGCCTTCCTTCTGCCTCCTCCACTCTCCCATTTTTAACTTTCCAAAAGAAAACCTTCAATCAGAAAATATTGTTGCAATAAACTAGGACATGAAGCCTTCAAATAAAATCAGAATCCAGGACTGTGCTCCTCTCCCAAGGCACTAACCCTGTGCCCTTCTTCAGACTCCACTGTCCCTCAAATGCTGCCTCCACAAGGATTAAGAAGGATCCTTGTGTCCTGGAAATTTGGGGAGCCAGGTATTGTTTCTTCATATTTATAGAGCTCCCAAGTGGTCACACAGTGATCTTTGCACATCACTTTCTTTGGCTATTGAGTTATTAATACTACATCTATTTTACAGGTAGGGAAGCTGTAGACAAAGAGGCTAAATGATTAAAATGCAGTCCCAGGGAAACTCAGAGCAAGATTAAATTGCTGGGCTACTGCAGCAGTGGTTCTCAACCAGTGGCCATTTTTTCCCCTCAAGGGACATTTGGCAACGTCTGAGGACATTTGTGATTGTCATGATTGTGGAGGAGGCACTACTGGCATCTAGTGGGTAGAGGCCGTGGATGCTGCTAAACATGTTACAATGCACAGGACAGCCCCCCACAACACACTGCCTAGCTCAGAATGTCAACAGTGCTGAGAATGGGAACATCTGACTGTCTGGCATCTCTAACAGTATTTCTTTGGCCCACAAATCAATAGTTAGTGAATGGCTCCATCTACAATTTGATCCTTGTACAGTATTTACACAGAAACAGGCCAGTTGAGTGCTATTTCGGCATCCTATATTTTTTAGTTACTTTAAAAATAGAAGATACAGTCAGCTCTCCATATCCATGGGTTCCATATCCAATCAACCATGGATTGAAAAAAAAACCAGATTAAAAAATTTCCACAAAGTTAAAAAACAAGCGAACTTGAATTTGCCATGCACTGAGCACTACTTAGATTACACAGGAATAAAGGGCTAGGCATACCTTGCTGTAGCCTATATGCAAATATAGGTCACATGCAAATACTATGCTACTTATATAAGGGACTTGAGCATCCATAGATGTGGATATCTGAGAGGATCCTGGAACAATTCCCTCCAGAGACTGAGGAATGACTGCACATGGGGGCCACAGAGGAAATGAGGAAAGACAGCAAAGTCTGGCTCCTTTCCTTTCAGGAGAAAACCTAGAAAAGACCAGGTCCTTTCCTTAGCAACCTCCAGGCCCTGAGCTATGGTCTGTGTCTGGCTGTTCACCTAGACACAATTGCTGACAGACTCTGCAGCTGCCTTTTCACTGCTTTGCTTATCTCTGAGCACGTGCATCACTCCAGAGCAGTAATGGTATGCTTATGGGAATCTCCAGAGAGCTACCACCCCTAATTGTCTATTTTGTTCAGTAAATTGTACTCATTACTGAGCCACGCGAGGCACCAATGGACAACAGCCTTTCTGGGAGCCCTCTGTCTGAGTCTGGGTAATGGGACATTGTCTGACAAGGGCTCCACAGTCTCGAACTAAACCGCTTCAATAACCCTCCATCCAGTTTTTCAGCTGAGTACTTCTTTTTAATGCCTGTCCCTCCTTCCCAACCATCCTTATATCTGCTTAGATTTGTATTAATTACAGTTTTCTCTTTAAGGAGTCTAGTTTTAATTTAAGCACCAGAAGGTAGAGAGCTCAGAAAGGATATGATATCTTTCAACCTCTCCATCCCAGTCCTCCACCTAGACTCTGAAAATCTTCAGCAAGAATGAAACCTGCAATCAATCTAGCTTTAGTTATAATACTCCCAATGCCCACATCCATTGCCCTAGGGCAGTGATGGCAAACCTTTTGAGCTCGGCGTGTCAGCATTTTGGAAAACCCTAACTTGACTCTGGTGCTGTGTCACATATAGAAATTTTTTGATATTTGCAACCATAGTAAAACAAAGATTTATATTTTTGATATTTATTTTATATATTTAAATGCCATTTAACAAAGAAAAATCAACCAAAAAAATGAGTTCGCGTGTCACCTCTGACACACGTGTCATAGGTTTGCCATCACTGCCCTAGGGACTGCAAACAGAAGAGGAATGAATGAACATGTGAGTTCCAGTAACACTGGGAAGATAAAATAGAACGGGCGGAACTACATGCTTAGCTATTGCCATTATCTACCAAACTTGAAATCATCAACTCTCTGGTAAGCTGTCTTTCCTCCTCGAAAAAGTGATTGATGGGGGAAGTGTCGGAGGGGGGGTGGGGGGGGCGGGGGGAAAGAAGGAGACATGTGTAGTGCTCTTTGTGGTACTTTAAGAAATAAAACAAAATTAAATTTTAAAAAAAGTGATTGATGAAGAAAAACCCAAGCACAATGATCCATGAAGGAGGAGGATGCTGAGAGGAGAACACGAGCCAGCAGAGTTAACACTATGAGAGAACGGAAGACAGTCCGGCCTAGTTTCCTTCTCAGGAAGGGCCCAACACACCTCCCCATACATATACATCCCATCCCATACAAACTCACTAAAAATTCTTGTGTTGAGATATTTCTATGCACAGATCCCATCCGATCACCCTGATCATGATTTTATCTTCATAACTGTTGATTTTTCACTGTGTCCATGAATTGAATCAATAAAGAGAACCTTCCACTGCACTGACTCCAACTAACAGTTGAGACAGTAAAACCAGAGAAACAGTGGCAGCGAAAGCCTTTGACTTACCCTGGAGTAGAGGGTGTGAGAGCCTTCAAACACAGTTACATCCTCATGACCCATCAGTTCTGCTGCTTTTCACCCACTCACTTCTGCATGTTGGACTTTGACTGATTAATCACCAACTGCCAAAGACAAAAATGAATGAATACATTAGACCAAAAGACCAATAATTTCAAGTCCCAAGCCACTGCTCAAGTGAATTTGTTAAAGTAGGCTGAGTGCTTAACATATAGACCCCAAAACATGCAATGGCTCAAATTAAAAAAACAAAACACCTTTATTCCTGGTACTTGCATACATACTGGACAGGTGAACAGGTCAGTCAATGGAGTGAGTCTCCCTGTTCAGTGATCTAGGCACCCAGGCTGACAAAAGTCCTGCCATCTTTAAAACATGTTTTCCAAGTTTGCCCTACCCCAGCCTGCGACCTCAGGTTTAAAGTACAGAGTTCTGGGTGAGACACTAGCTCGGTAGCCCTGATTGGTTACTTAACAAAAGAATCTTTGTTTCCTGATTTCCTTACCTGTAAAACACCCTGCTTCTCTCATTGACCCAAGGGGTCAGTATAAGACTCAAAAATGAGACCTAGCACCCTTCAGACTACAATGAGCAGGCAGAGCGCCTGGCCTCTTGATAAAATGCAGATTCCGATTCAGTAGGTCCTGGGTGAAGCCTGAGATTCTGCATTTCTGACAAGCTCCCAGATACCAGTGCTGCTCTCGGACCACACTTTAAGTAGAAAAGAGATGAAGAACTAGAGAATGTTTTTCTAAACCACAAAGTGATTTTCAGATATAAAGAATTATTATCCTGGCACCAGCTATGATTATAAATGAATTCCCAACCAGCCAGCATGTTTAAGACATGTTTAGTCTAGGTACCAAGGAAAATTTCACAGTCACAGGACTTAGAACTGCAAAGAATTTCAGTGGTCACTGCTCTTTCTTTATATTTTCCAGACAAGGAAGCAAACTCAGAGAGTTCGTGATGTCTCCCAAATCTCACAATAACTCAGTAAACTGGGACCAGAATTCATAAATTTGATATCATTCTGTTATTACATAAACTCACTTGACAACAATCTTCTGGAGAAGAAAGGGTAATTTTTATTCTTCTTCTAAATCAAGAACAAATACTACTCTGGCCCATATCCAAAAAGATACCAGAAGGTGGCATTCATCAGCTCGGGTCACCATGGCACCAAATGTCAGCAACGTGTCACAGGACAGACATCAAGAGATGTTCAGGAAAATGATCTTCAAAATGTAGTGATATCCACAGTTATGCCTCACTTGTCCAAAAGGTGACTTGAACACAAATTGACTTCTGTATACCTTCTGGGGGAAAACAAGAATTTTTATTTTCAACATATACAAATTTTGAGTCACTCCTATTTGGGAACAATTTGAAAAAGAGAGATCCTAGGAATCAAACAGAAAGGGAAATAAAATAATTAGTCAAGCAGGAGCAGTGGTTTCTGGGTAAACCCTAGGGATAAATAAAGGAACCCCAAGATGTTTTATCCCTGGCATGTAAATCATTTTGCATGTCTGAGATCATGGTGAGTCCTAGAGAGTAAAATGTTAGGGCCTCAGAAGTGAACGAGAGGAGTCAAAAACTCAAGTCATAAGTCAGAAAGGCATTGATTTATCTGGAAATCAAACCAGATTGGGGAAGAAGGGAGGTTCTTAGTAGGCATGTCATCTCTAATAAAGCAATGTGGATTTAAAAGTATGTTGGGAAATGAGAAGGAATACTATTGAGCAAGGGATGATAAATGGAAATCAATACTTACATTTCCATTATCAATTTAAGATGGGTGAAATGCTATTGCTAGCATCCTCATTTAGTGAGCAATTTTGAACACTTTAATAAAGGTAAAATGTTCTAAGAAGTTTGACAGCTTACTTCTGTACCCCAACCCCAAACCCTCTTCCACCTTAATTTCTTTAGCACCTCAAAAATTCCCCCAGCCTGGCAATTTTCCAGAACCTACTGTAGAATTTTTACCTCATTTTGGTGCCACAGTCCCCTTTGGCAACCTGTGGAAGCCTAAGGACCTCCTCAAAATAATGTGTTAAGTGTATGGAGAAAATATGTATGATTACAAAGGAAGTCAATTATACAGAAATACTCTATCCACACAGTCCTCAGAAGTCCAAGAACCCCACTTAAGACTATCTGATCAGGGAATAACTCTTCCAGGATGATGAAAGTTTTTTCTTATAGGAAATTTTACGCAGAGAAGTTTTAAAAACCCAAAGATGCATAGGAAAGGATCCTGCTCAGGATCAGTCAGTGAAGAAAAGAATGAGCTGCACAGAGAAGACTGACCTTGAATTTCTACCCAAACTCAACACTATCTGTACTGTGGCTTTAAAATCTTACACTAAGTAATTACTCAGATTTTTTTTTTCCTCCAGCCCTGTACACACAGTATATTCTGTGTACTGATGGCAGGCGAAGAAAGGCAGCATTGGAGAAGGGAAGACAGGAGAATCCTTGCTTGGTCCTAACTTTCTAACCAGTTCTCTGCCATTAACTAGCTCTATTAGCTTGGTCAAGTCACTCAGCTCTGAGTTGAAAGTCCCTGTCTATAAAATGAGAAGGTTGAGTTTACCATCTCTAGGACTTCCTAAAACTCTGAATTATTAAGACTCTAAGACGATGCACGATAATTTCTCTGAGAAGAAATATTAGTGAGGTTTCTTTTTGTCCTAGGTTCACAGTACGAAAATACATTCTAGATGAGAAATTTTTCAGAGGCTTCAGAAATACCTTATGAGAATCACCTAGCCATAGCATTTTAGACTTGGAAGAAATTTTAAGAGCCATGTGGCACTTCACCAATCCCAGTGAGCAGGTGAGAAAACTGAGGTTCAGAAAGGCAAGAAGACTGACTGGAGGTCACATAATGAGGCAATGCTAACAGACCGTTGTGACTACTGCCATTTAGCACGGGCAGCATTTTAAGATTAGGCATTGGAAGTACAAACCAGCTCATCAGTTCACTTGAAGAGAGACAGAAATAAACATCAAATAAGCTGAGCTATGGGAGAACTGCACGAGGAAGCAGGTGACTGGGGTGATGCTACTCAGCAGCAGTGCCCTATCGCTCGGTCGGACGGGGTCAAAACTGAGGCTCTCGTATACACTGTAACATCACTGGCAACATCACCCACCTCCCTCAAATATCATGGCCACAAAGTCCATTTCAAAGAACAATCAATTACAAAGAATATAGAAGAACTTTTTCAAAAGAGGGGAATGGGTGAATGAACTCTGGCTAATGAGGTCAATAAAACCAAAGTTCAAGATTTGGATTGTTAATACCATCTTGAAAGGACAACATTAAAGAATATCTAAAGCTTAAAAATTCCTGACAAGTATTTTAAAAAGAAACGGATTCCGAGTAATTTGGACCTACCTTCTGTGGACAGCCACGAAGAATAGTAACGACTTAGCCAGCATAATTTTCACTAATACCCTCACCACTATCTTTAGAGCATGTCATGATCGGCTATTGGTCAGTTTTAATAGTCATTTCCACAGTCCAAGTGTGTTGACTAGTTTTACATGTGAAGAATTATTAGCTATGAAATTGTTGGGAATTCTGATCTAATTATGATTTCAACCTCATTCAATTAACCAAAAAGATATCTGCCACATGCGTTTAAAACCTGTACTACATTGAATGCCTATCAGTTTACCCTCTGCCTTCTCTCACACCCATTCCTCAATTCCCACAAGACAGTATTCCGACCTTATATAAATAGTTCTAAATTTCAGAACTTTTTTTTTTTAAGATTCTCTAAGAGCTGACACAGACTTTCAAAATCTTCTAGACTAAAGGCTACACTAACTGCTGGTTTGCCAGCTCCGTATTTCATCTCCTCCAGGAATTCCCAGAGGCAGCAGTGCCACCTCCTGGTAGGGACGGCACAACTTGGTTTCTGGAAGCCCTTGGGTGACAGGAGCCAAGGACCTGAAAGAACGGCAGCCTAGATTGGTGCCTTTGTGAGCCTTTCTTTTCTAGAGCTCATGACAAGCATAACTGATGCTTATAACCTGAACCACAGAACCTCCGCAGGAGACGCATTCGTGAAAGGCAGGTCTTCTGGAAGCCATGGAAAGCCCAGCCGGGCTAGCCAATACATGAGGCAGCTCTGCCTGGAAATGCCTCCTCAAGGCAGAGCCTCACTGAATTAAACATTTCCTGGCTCTCCTTGAACCCCAGTGCGCTCTCTCTATCAGATGATCTCACCCATGGCCCCACCTGTGGCAGTGTTATTCAGCTCTATCTCACAGCATGTGTCCCAGGGAAGGCGCTCAGACGCTTCTCAACGTGAAGGCTCTTAGATTCACACAATGTGACACAGATCCTGCTCAAAGGACACTACTGCTTAGGCATGCAGGTCGGGCCCTAATCCCTCTCATTCACTCCCCACTCTCCTCATCCCTGACCCAGGGGACAGAAACGACGGAGAGGAAATGATTTTGTTGTTGCTTTGAAAGCAATACTAGTGGGCTTTTATTGAATCAGAGAATAAAACCTTGTGCTGTAAGGTCACCGGGGTACGTTGCTTCTTTCAGAATGAACTAAGCCTGCCAATCTCCCTGTTTTCTCCTGGGTAACCTAATAAGTGTTCCTCAAGCTTTTCAAAACCCCTGCCTCCCTTCCACAGGCTAAACAGAAACACTGCATGCCCTCTGTGTAGTTTATATGAACAAAGATGACATTTGAGAAAAACGTGGAAGCATGCCTTTCAAACTATATCACCTATGCCACATTCAGAATTCTTTCCTCCCCACCCCCATCGCATGCCAACTAAAAAACAAATCACTGACAAATTTTTAAAGCATTCCCACTACTTTGCTTTATGCTCCAATCTATCAATATATACTTCACTAGGCTTGTTATATTCCCGACAAGCTTTGCAGCAACTTCTCCTACTTTCATTCACCTCAGAAAATCACCAAAAGTTGATTTGCTGTAGCTGATAAACACTAGGTCTGATCCCCCCAACCCTCACCCCTTCCCCTAACAAATTTAAGTATTCCCTCTTCAATTCGTGTTAACTTGCCAAGTAAATTAATTTCTCAGCATGTGTAGACATT